CCTTGCTCCTCTCTCCCCCCCTCCCTTTCCTTCCCCCTTCCTTGCTCCCTCCCCCCTCTATTCATTCCTCTCTTCCCCCTCCCTTTCCCTTTCCCCTCCCTTTCCCTTTCCCTTTCCCTTTCCCCTCCCTTTCCCTTTCCCTTCCCCCTCCCTCCCCCCTCTGTAACATAGAATCTATGTAAATTTAATTAATTTAATTAATGAATATACTTCAATTTTTTTTTTGTTTTGAAGAGGAATTCTGGATTAACTTAGGTCTGTGGCAGTCCAGTCCAGTCCAGTTTTGTGTTGGGAGAGTCCAGTGGAGTCCAGTCCAGTCCAGTTTTGTGATTTGCAGTCCAGTCCAGTCCAGTCCAGTCCAGTTTTGTGCTTGCAATCCAGTGGAGTCCAGTGGAGTCCAGATTTGTGGATATTGCCAGTATGTAGTGAAGTCCGGTGGAATCCAGTGGAATCCAGTGGAATCCAGTGGAGTCCATGTGGATGATGTGGGGGATGGTAAAGTACTGCAGGAGCAGCCTGAAGCCGTGTTGAGAAGTCTCGTGAGGGTGTGAAGTGCTTAGTAAGATAAAGCTGAATTTGTCAGCCATCAATCCTTTGTGTTTTCATGTATAGATGTCAATTCACATGAATTCAATGTCAATTCACATAAATTCAATGTCAATTCACATGAATTCAAATGAATTCATGATCAATTCATATGAATTCAAGTAGTCTTTTATAGTGTTTGTAGTCTATCTATTGAACTTGAAGTCTATTCCGATGTTTTGTAGTTACTTTTGTAGTCTTTTGGTGTGTTTATAGTCTATTTATTGGGTTTGTAGTCTATTCCAATGTTTCTATTAACTATCCAATGTCAATTCACATAAATTCAATGTCAATTCACATGAATTCAAATCAATTCATGATCAATTCATATGAATTCAAGTAGTCTTTTATAGTGTTTGTAGTCTATCTATTGAACTTGAAGTCTATACCAATGTTTTTTAGTGACTTTTGTAGTCTTTTGGTGTGTTTCTATTAACTATTCAATGTCAATTCACATAACTTGAAGGTCAATTCACATGAATTAAAATGAATTCATGATCAATTCATATGAATTCAAGTAGTCTTTTATAGTGTTTGTAGTCTATCTATTTGGGTTTGTAGTCTATTCTGATGTTTCTATTAACTATTCAATGTCAATTCACATGAATTCAAATGAATTCATGATCAATTCATATGAATTCATGTAGTCTTTTATAGTGTTTGTAGTTTATCTATTGAACTTGAAGTCTATTCCGATGTTTTGTAGTTACTTTTGTAGTTTTTTGGTGTGTTTATAGTCTATTCCGATGTTTCTATTAACTATTCAATGTCAATTCACC